AAATGGAATAACAGACAGATTGAGAAGCGTCATCTAACTATCTTTGTGTATTGATAATAATATGGCAAGTAGTGTCGTTAATATCTGTTATTAATTAATCAATCCGACTAAAGTTATACAGACTTGGGGTCATAAATTAATTTACATCTCAGTGTTAGCAGTATTTGTTAGTGGGATTAAGAATGCTGATTAGGAAATTATCTTTTGTACGCCGGCCAGATCAAAGACATCACTTTAGGTGAAACGTGTGAGTAGTACCCACGAATGAACTAATGGTAGAATCGTACACACACATATTAATTGTATAAAATAATTAAGTTTTACTCATCAGTTGTTTATAATTATTATTTACCCAATAATTATTGCTCACCGGTGTTTTTGTAATCAAGTAGCCTCGTATTATTTGTTGACTGGCGTTTAAACAACATTTAATTGCCTTGATATGAAATCTGAATATAAATTATTCGAGGGATAAACCTTTGTGATACGATTAGGTTATGTCTTAACATCGTTTATCTTCTTTTATAATAATAGTATTTTACAATTGCATTGACAGTTTAATTACTCACCAAACGGCATCAGGAACTCCGTGTATGATCAAGTGTATTTGATATTCATGTCCATGAATCTCGTGCAATTTTTGCGCCAAAGTTTAACCTCAGTTACTATGCCGTAGTGCATGGAACCGTACATGGCAATAAGATTCCCAGCATTGATTGGCTGAGAAATGAGGGTGATCTATGCTATGCATGGTCATCGGAAAATTCCATAATACCTGTGAATTTCAAATGGAGTTACGATAAAAGTTGTTTTTTGTGTATAGAAATGGTTATTATTATTATATATAGCTAAAAAATTAATATATCGACAAATGACTGGCACCATTTGTATTTCTGTACTTAGGTTTGAGATATTAAGTATTATGGGGTTATCCAAATTACCGTACATGGCAATAAGATTCCCAGCATTGATTGGCTGAGAAATGAGGGTGATCTATGCATGGTCATCGGAAAATTCCATATTCGCTGTGAATTTCAAATGGAGTTACGATAAAAGTTGTTTTTTGTGTATAGAAATGGTTATTATTATTATATATAGCTAATAATTAATATATCGACAAATGACTGGCACCATTTGTATTTCTGTACTTAGGTTTGAGATATCAAGTATTACGGGGTTATCCAAATTACTGGTAAATGCGCTAATTTCTTGAGTCATCTTCATTTGACACGTGGCCTATTTAAACAAAAGCAGATTAAATTGATCTACAGCATAATACGGCATTTTAAATTCACTCTAAAATATTCCAATCACATATATCTAATCTATACCAATGAAAGACGATAATTCGGTGATTATGATTAGGCCAGTCACGTGGTAATTGGATCGTCAATAGACGCTTGTCAACTTGCCGTGTGTATTGATAGTGCTATATTATACAGACAGTGAGATATTGTATAGATAATGTACATGTATATCCTCGTACGTAACTAACGTACGAAAATTAATTGGCGGCTAGCTTTTTTTTCAAACGTATACAGTGAATGGCCATTTTGCTCAGTAATCCCAGCCAGAATTTGGCTATTTTCTAAATTTGCGTTAAAGTTTAAAATATTTGTTTTAGAACTGAAACACATTAACTATTAGTCAATCCCAACGCTAAAAACATCAACAGAATTGATTGTGTATATCTGAAATAGACCCGACCGATGCACAAAATAGTGCAATATGGCGGACTCTTTGAACAACCCTCGCAGACGCTGTCATTGAAGACAACATCAATTCTATGAGTTGTAGATGTTATTTTTGTGAAAAATCATTGGAAGAAGAGAGAACATGTTGGGACTGTACGAATTATATAGTCTTTATGGGTGCAACAGACACGATGCTGAAGATAAAGCTATTGTTTACAATGTTGACCTCATGACCCATTGACGCCAATGTCATGACCTGTGATGTGTAGATCACGTGATATGGATATCGTGGCTACTGACTGGGTCTGAGATACTTCTCCGCAGGTAGCGTGTCTCAGATGTTCAGAATGGTATATCCTATGTGTAGTGCCTGTGATGTCACCAGCCAATCAACCGGATTAAGGTCGTAAGCGTTTTTGCGTGTTGGACACTTAAACGTTAACAGCCGACTTAATTTTAATCAGATTGGTGTGAACTTGCTGTAACGTTGATATAGTAACCATGGGCTATACGTACATGAAATTTAGATTTTTGATCTTACGTGGTCTTTAACAATTTAAATCAGATAGAAAGCTTTTTAAAGAAAGTACAGTAGAATCTGCATTAAGCAGCCACCCAAGGGAATTTTTACAACTGACCGCTTAACGGGAGTGGCCTCTTAAATATTACGCTTGGATGCATTGGAAGCGGTAAATTTGACCGTCGCTGAATCTTGCTCCGAACGAAAATTCTTTACTCAAATCTCGGACATAACTTAACGGGAGTGGCCTCTTAATAAAATCTTGGTGCTTTATGTGCTGACATAAATTAAATATTACGCTTGAATGCATTGGAAGCGGTAAATTTGACCGTCGCTGAATCTTGCACCGAACGAAAATTCCTTACTCAAATCTCGGACATAACTTCTGTATACTTGTCATTTTGTACCAACCTTCGATACTACTGTCTACCATTGTGATGCATTCGATAATATTTATCCATTTTTGTGAAGAGAATTGATGAATTAATTTTATTTTATCAAAAAAGCACATGCACAAAAAAACATCGCTAATTTTATCACCTATTTACAGGGGGTGTAACTCTGTATGTAATATTAAAGGAGGCGCTGAAACGTCTGTTGTTAAAACAATAAAATGGCAATGGAAAAGAGATACTAGATGATGGTGACAAAACTCGGTACTTTTATTTTATTCAATCAGTATCAAATAATGTGTCGTTACGCGTGAAAACAATGATCAGGTTAGTCGTTTAATAAAACAAAAGATTAATTAACAGATAATCCAGGGTTGATTGTTATTTTTACGTTTCTTTTTACCTGATCAGTGGGGGTCCAGTTTATTAACTACTACTCACGGGATTAGCGTTGGTGTTACAAAGAACGACAAGATGGTATCATTCAACAATGGCCGTTGAATGGGCGATGTTTTGTTGAATTTATTAGTAAAATAGTGACCGCTGGACGCGTTAGAGGAGTGACCGTTGAATAAAGAGATGAAACAATAGAATTTCTACGGGGGGAATTTATCGTGACCGCTTACAAGGAGATGTCGCTGAATAGGAGTGGCTGCTCATACAGATTCTACTGTAATCGTAAATCAAGTTATGCTTTGTCTCTATGTTTGTTTACATTGTTTACATGTACTTAGAGGTTGTTTTATGTTTTATTGTAGTTTTCACGGTAAAATTGGTTCTGCAATAAAGTACAGAAGAATTTGTTTTATCGTTAGCCGATTGATTATCTGTGTCGCATAGAGAGTCATGATAGTAACACATGGTAACAAATGTATAGATGCAATTGATATTGCTAGATTTGGTTGATTCTGCATCTATTTGTGCAATGCTTATGTGGAAATCTGTTTAACGGTTTCATTGATACCGGAAGTGACATAAGTTCAAGGATAACGTGGCACCGGGAGTGACATAAGTTTAAGGGTAATATGGCACCAGTGAAACCCGTCATTACTGCTTTGCAGTTCTAGTTATTATTATAATGTTAACCACATGTCAAAAACTGATTGCTACAGTATGAACTATTGATTAGATAATATTTGTTATGACTATATAGGTTGTTAATACTTATATTGATTGGTGACATAGAGAAATCAATATTTACTTAGTGTTTCAAGTAAATAGCAACCAACTGTATTATGTATCTCAGCAACGGCTGATCTTAATATCGTTTTATTTTAAAAATCGAACTATCTATTACTAGCAGGATACCCGGCTTCGCTCGGGGGTCATAACTCCGAAACCGGAAGTGGTAGACTAACGCCACCTGGCCTATGTTACTCCCCGGTCCGAGCTACCCCTATACCCCAAATTTCAGACTCAGGGCAGACCTAGTGTAGCCGCCAAACCCGAACAGACAGACAGACAAATGACAGTCACAAATATTAGTATAGATAAAGTGTACATAGAAGATTATTGGGTATCTATTTAACATACATATATCTTCAATAAATGCATTAAATTCTCCTAGTAAGAACTGAGGTTTTAACTAAAATGTCTACTTCATTCTGTCCTTAGCAACAAATGCGTAAATTATGCAAATAAGTGCTGGTGGGGGGGAGGGGGGGGGTATCAAATTAAAGTACATGTAACAATGCATTATTTGTATTTTTCGCTAAACTATCAAATTTCTCACCGCTTAATCCACACTTATATGTACTCAGATTATTCAATATTTGATTAAAAAGTAAAATCTAAATACCAAAGCTAGATAATGTCCCGACTTGGATTCAGTTGTATTTAGAACAAGCCTATTAATAAGTTTTTGCAGACAACATAATTTTGCGGCTTATAACAAAGCAAACAGCATAGATCGGTATAATTTCAATTCCACATACCTTTGTAAATACTGAACAGAACTGAACCGAAGCATTTTTGGACTGATATTACAATTGAGATTCATCTTTCACACAATCTGATTAAAACACAGATCCTTTTTCGTTTTGTTTTTTATAGTTCAAAATTTCGTTTTACTTGTCTTTACTACACTAGGATATGGAAGAGTTGTTATATTACCGGCGTTTAGTTGAAGTGAGGGATAAGCCAATGAAACAGTCTGTTACGGCGACTTCTTGGCATGCCATACAAGGAACTGTGGGTAAACCACTAGAAATGCCAACACTGATTGATTAATCAATGTCTGACGTCATAGGGTCAAAAGCTGTTTGTACGAACCCTGACACAACCTTCAAGTACAATTTTTCAGATCTTCATGTAGTGTAGGCCATCGAAAGTATAAAAAAAACAAAACGAAATATAGATCTGTATTTTAATCAGACATTCTATAATATCCTTTACCTGCTTCAGTGTCCCTTTTTTCAAAGCCATCAATTATAACACCAGGTCCGAACCTCTCTCCTTCTGGTTCCCATGTGGATAAAACTTTATCTCCAGTTAGTACAGCTCGTCTTTTAGCATCCTCATAATCTAATATATCATGTACCAATGTTTCTTGATATACTGTGTTTTTATATTTACCATATTTACAAGCATCAAATGCAACCAAGAATTTACTCTCATAAACCTGAAAAAAATAATTTAATGCACTATTATGGCAATTTTATGTAGCTCTGGCAGTTTCATGTAGCTCTATTATACGTGCATCTAGTTAAGCTTACTCAGTAGATCAATTATTAGATGAGACAAATTTTGCTGAGAAGGTTTTAAGACAAATAGAGTTTAATATAATTACCTGGCTCTGTACAGTTCCCCGATAAAAATAACCATCACTTTGCCTTCTGGCTAGAACTTTTTTGCCAATCAAAAGAGCTCCTGCTGCTGGAGACAGTTCTATGTCATGAGCGACATCAAGTAATTTATCTTGGGTTTTTAACCAGCCCTTAGCTGGTCGATATTGACTCCAATACGAGGGATTATAGTAACGAAAACCAGATAATGGCGAGAAGTTATATGGATAGTAAATTGGGGCTGCCACAGTAGAATTGAGGTGGACACTTTCTGTTGGATCCATGGCTAATGTGGTAGTTACAGAACACCTTTTAGATCTAGGTAAAATACTGTCATTACTTGTTCTAATAACATTAGCATGATCGGATATATATACTGGAGTCACCTTCTCAACACAACCTTTAATAGTCAAACTGGCAACATGGAAACTCCCATAAGTTTCTATGGCAAGATCTTCTAAAAATTCTATAGATGCACTATCAACCTTTTCACCCATTAAATAAATACAATGTACTGGTCGATTACCACTGGCATAAACAACTTGATCTAATATGTCTTCTGGATTTTGATCAGGTAATCCATCTGTAATTAAATACACTGCTTTACAATCAGGATCGCTAAGGGCAGTAATTAAGGCATCTTGAGTGTTTGTTCCAGTTTTAGCACTAAGCTCACTAATCCATTTAGCTGCCACAGACACTGTTTCAGGAGTACATTTCACCATCTTATCTGACCACTGTGTCACGTATGTATTAAATTCTATGATGTTAAATAATGCATTTTCACTGGAATGTTTTGTATGTTTATATAAAGCCTCTACTAATTGTTCTTTAACCATGTGTAAACAGTTGAACATGCTACCTGATGTATCAACACAAAAAGTAACACTACTTTCAGCAACATTGCTTAAAATACCCACAGTGTTACCAGACTGTACAGGTGCTTCATCACATTCTGAAGAAGCCATTTTATGTTGTTTATTTTTTTATAGATCAACTGTAAACCTACAAAAGAAATATATAATCAAGAGCTGACCCTTGAATCAGATATTAAGACTATTTCCTAACATAAATAGCAATAGCCCTATGGCTATAGCACATACATGTATACTGTGACTATAAAGTGGAGTTTTAACCGCTTCAATAACATCTATAAGCGTGTTGCGGCAGCCCTCAAAGTAGTTCCTTTAAAAACTGTCTCCGATGTCCAATGAAGATGTCCACTGACAGTTCCTATCCGTTTCTATAGAGCTGTTCTAAGGCTATTTTGGAATCCTTACAGACCATTTTTCACTGTGATTATTCTTTATTCTCCAAATGAGAGAGAGAGATAAATGGGGTTTAACGTCCACTCGACACTAGCGAGGTAAGCAAGGTCTTATTTTCTCACTAAGATGTTCATTTATATTGTTCAGGCGTTCACAGGGACTGACACGCGACCGTTTAGCAGTAAAAAGTTGCCCAGTAAAATTGACTGGGAAACCAAATCTGGTCGACAAGGATTCAATAGAAGGGTCCCTGAACGTAGAGGTCGAGTGTAATGAGACCTACGTTCAGAGCTGAACTACTGTCAGTGGACATCGTCCGCTCAGAGGCAGTTCCTAAAGGAACTATACACCCACCCCCCCATCCGAGTCTCTAATCAAATAATTAAAACAAAATATTTCAAAAGGTAAAGTTATAAACTTTGCAGAGATTTTACTAGAATGTAAAAGTAAAAGACGTTAACGGACTCGGGGGTTATACTATATAAAATAAATTTTAAAATTGCAAAAAAAGTAGTAGATAAATCACAACGAAATTGTCTATGTTATTTCTATGTGAATCGAGTTATAAACCCAAAAGAAAAAAAAATGAGTTCTTATCAAAAAATAAAAAGCCAATGAATGAATGATGATGACCTCTGTGAAATACTCCCTTGGCCTTAGCCTTAGTTTAAAAAGCCTTAGCATATTTTATCTCAATCAATTAGAACTCTTCTGAATCTGGGTACGGTAATTAATTATATATAAAAATCTATGACTGTCGTCTTACCGGCTAATCATGTACGTGTCTAAATTTTCAAGGTTTCAGCATTTACTTACCAAATAATCTGACAGATATCCTACTTCTTTCGCCTCTAAACTTCACATAATGCCGTACAATCTTCTTTATCTTGTTGCTATTTACATCTCGCACCTGTTGTTGTTATGGGCGCCGCATTCGGATACCAGAGTCTTCCGAGGTTTGCCGAAAGATGGGCGCCGTATTGTGTCACGTGATGAATATACTTTTTGGAAACATTACCCCTCCGTCAAAGACCAATCGAACCAAGACAGAAGACCGACCAATGTTTTGAATTGATAATTGTGTTTGTTTTATAAACATTTGTTTTCTTTGTAGCCAACTTACCCTATCTCACCATGGTGAGTGGACGTTAAACCCCATCTCTCTCTCTCTCTCTCTCTCTCTCTCTTCTTGGGTGACCGAGACTACTCTTCCGCTGCCTGGACAGTTAAAGTCTATAGTTTAACAGGCATTGTTGTCATGTTAGCAGGGGTTGATGCGCGGCACGGAGTAAAAATAACCAGAGTGGCCATAGAAATATATTATAAATTTATATATTTCTGTGAGAGTGACAACCAATGACGTCTACTATTCTAACGTACATTCGGCAAACCTCGGCAGATTCTACGAATCTAACTGTAGGGTACCGCAGTCGGCAAACCTCGGCAGGTTCCGTAACTCTACATCTAGCTAGGTAAGGTTTTCGTTGTTCACCCGAGTCACTCGAGTCGACACCAGACCGTTCGCGTTTTGAATCGAGTTGGTCACATGACTGACTCGGAGTCGCATCAGGTGACTAACCGGTTTACTCCCCGTTGAGTGGAGAGTAAAAGGGTTTGTCACGTGACAAAATGGCGTCCTATACGCAAAAAAGCCTGTCTCTCGATCACATACTGACGTCGTAACTGTTTTGATGTCATGTGACTACTCGGACCGTTCGGGATGTTTCACCCGGGTAAACTCGGCAATGGAGTCGACTCGAGTGACGCGAGTAAACGACGAAAACCTTACCCAGATGTAGGTAGGGTACTGGAATCTGCTGAGGTTTGCCGATTGTAGGGTACCGGTGTGATAGTTTGAGTTGACTCTTGGGGTGTGTTTTCTCCTGGGCACTTGCGCATGTCCGAAACTGATGTTTGCCTTAACAACGAAACTATATCTACTTCCTGCAGTGTGTGTTGGTTTCTGACCACTGGTCAGTACAGGAAAAAATATATCATGTACTTGATTAGAGTTTTGTCATTAATAAAATACTTGTTGACGTGATTAGCTGTTGTTTTAGTGATCAGTAGTTACACGATCAACGGATCTAAGTTGATTGGCTTGAAATTGATACTTCGTTCGTGATTTGTTGCCGTTGTTTTTTTTTTAGTGATTAGTCGTTCTACACTGTACACACGTACGATCAGTGGAAACCATACAAATTGATGATTGGCTTGAAATTATCAATTAATTCACCTCCAAAGGAAGATTAACTAGGCCTTTGATATTTCGTGGCTTCATTTAACACAAATATAAAAGTATGGAATTTCTTATTCCGATTTCTTTAATATAAATATAGATTTATTACACCATCCCATACGTACATTCAAACATGCATGTAGACAGCCCAAATACAAGAGAGAATGTTCGCATTGTGGACGGGTATATATAATAATAATAAAGATCGTCAATTTGCATCCTCTCTTAGTGGTAATATTGTAAATATATAATAGTCTATAATATATTGATTTGACCGTAAGAACATTTTAGGGGAAATCCTATCACGAGGAGTCAATGCACACCGCGTCTGTAACGGTGTGAGGTGACTCATACAACTGCGCATGCGCCAAACGGTAATCACACACCAGGGACCATCTGAAACTGCCACACCGGGTCACACCGGAATCTGCCGACTGCTACTAGTATAGACGTCGGTAAGCGTGAGACCGCACCACAGCTGTGACCGTACTATTAAAGCGAGACCGATTTTTACGATTATGCTGAGCGAGGCAGATGTAAGCCCCGCCTCTTTCTTGTTTAAGTGCCTCCCATTTTATTTGAAGGTCGAGTTTAGAAAGGACTATTTATTGTTAATAAAATAAATCTCTCAAGTGCTACTAGACTTACAAAACATTGGGGATGCTCGATTCACAGTCCGGAACGTCCCGAATTGACAGAATTTCCAATCGAGTGACGCGGAATTCATTCCTGTCACAGTTCTGTCAGTCCCGACGACGGGGGTGGTGTGAGTAGAATCGTGACGTAATTAAACACGACGAACGGGTTTCGGCTGCATGGTTGGATGAGATATTTATATATCCAGTCGACGCATGCGTTGTAGACCGAAGTACCCATTTTCACTCGATTGTCACTATTTTTGGGATTGAGAGAATTCAAAACATTGGGGATGCTCGATTCACAGTCCGGAACGTCCCGAATTGACAGAATTTGCAATCGAGTGACGCGGAATTCATTCCTGTCACAGTTCTGTTAGTCCCGACGACGGGGGTGGTGTGAGTAGAATCGTGACGTAATTAAACACGACGAACGGGTTTCGGCTGCATGGTTGGATGAGATATTTATATATCCAGTCGACGCATGCGTTGTAGACCGAAGTACCCATTTTCACTCGATTGTCACTATTTTTGGGATTGAGAGAATTCAATTCCGGAACTTTTAATCGAGTACGCCCGGCCGGGGTAGCGTGCAATGAAAAAAATACATATAGCTATAATATTAAATTGTTTATTGCACTATATATACCATAATATATTTCATGCATATAATTACTGTTTTAATAAACTATTAATCAATCTTTTATTACAATACATTACAACGAATTGCAACGAAAGTCTCTTAGTATACATTAGTTTCTTGTCAACAAAAATCACATACACGAGTTATCTCCCGTGAACCTCCGATTTGGGCAATTTTAAAACTGAAATCCGCACGTTATACCAACTAAATTGTTATATTGTGTTTCCACAGTCAACATTTTTGGGGTTATTGACTGTTATTTTGGCGTTATTGGGTAATTCGACTCAAATTGTTATTATGTGTTATTTTGGAGTTCGGCCTATTGGGTAATAGATAGATAGATAGATTTTATTGTACACTGTTTGAAGGATTGGGTCGAATCGACCCAAAAAATATGGGTCAAATCGACCCAAAAAATATGGGTCAAATCCGACCCAAGTGTATAGGGTACAGCTTAGGTCGACCCAAAAAATATTTTTGGGTCAATTTGACCCAATAAATTTAGGTCGCATTGACCCAATACATTTGGGTCGGAATGACTTAAAATTATTGGGTTAAAGGGACCCAAATTTCTTGGGTCGGTCATGTCTGTACCCTTTACTCTTGGGTTGGATTTGACCCATATTTGTTGGGTCGAAATTGAGATTGCTCGCTCTTCGTAGGTGACATTTGCGTTTCCAGAAATGCAAAATGTGATGAGCGGCCTTGGGTTGAAGTTAAATCACAAGACTGAAACAGAAAAAGGACAGAAAGATTTTTAATTTCAATATGTAAAAATATTATATAGGGCACGGTAGCTTCCTCTTAATAATGTGCTTTAGGTGGTCTAACTGCAGTAGGCTCGGTAATAATCACTTGGAATGCTGGAACACTGGTATTGGTAGTCACCGTCAGATGCAATGCAAGTAAGGCCGTGGTGGCGATGATGATGGCGACCCGGGTCATCCTCGCGTTAAGGAGCAGGCTACTTCACCATCCACCTCTTCAGGCTCTTGGACTGGGAGTCTTGGTCTGAAAATGGATAAAAGAAGTAATATAACTTTTCTTACTCATTCATACTAGTCCTATCGGTGGTCTAATGTGTGAATTCAAAAATAAAAGCATTGAAATAAATATAAAATAAGGGGCCCAAAAAGGACTCAATCTTTGAAAAAAGTTGAAAAATCGTTAAATTACCGAAAATCTTCTTCTATTTTTCTTTTTTGAAAACAGCTCAATGGATGATACAAAAGATAAAGAAGATAATTATTTCTATTTATTTGCTAGGCCCAGTGCAAGTGAGGCTATTCTGAGTAGGCTATTCATTTCAGATAGCCTACCGCAACCGTGTTGAACTTGAAGATGACGTTAACTAATTCAGTAATTCAATAACCGTAATGGCGTAAAAAAAGGGGTCTTCTATATTCTGTTAGGTCTTTCACGGCTTTCATTAAATAAATCTTAACAGACCCAACAATTAATTGTGAAAGCGTACAGGTGAGGTTAGCCATATGGCCCATTCTGAACATCTGAGACACGCTACCTGCGGAGAAGTATCTCAGACACAGTCAGTAGCCATGATATCCATATCACGTGATCGACACATCACAGGTCATGACATTGGCGTCAATGGGTCATGAGGTCAACATTGTAAACAATAGCTTTATCTTCAGCATTGTGTCCGTTGCACCCATAAAGACTATATAATTCGTACAGTCCCAACATGTTCTCTCTTCTTCCAATGATTTTTTCACAAAAATAACATCTAGATCTACAACTCATAGAATTGACGTTGTCTTCAATGACAGCGTCTGCGAGGGTTGTTCATAGAGGCCGCCATATTGCACTATTTTGTGCGTCGGTCGGGGTTATTTCAGATATACACAATCAATTCTGTTGATGTTTTTAGCGTTGGAATTGACTAATAGTTAACGTGTTTCAGTTCTAAAACAAATATTTTAAACTTTAATTAACGCAAATTTAGAAAATAGCCAAATTCTGGCTGGGATTACTGAGCAAAATGGCCATTCACTGTATGCGTGCGAAAAAAAAGCTAGCCACCAATTAATTTTCGTACGTTAGTTACGTACGCCATATGGCCATATGCTGGCTGGATCAAGTTTGAAACAATGATTTTAAATTGAATGAAACTTTGACAGATAATGACAAAATACTCACCTACAAATATTACATAGAAAAACCATATCTGTAAGTTTCAGTTTGTCGGCCACAAAATCCATTTATCAAAATCCGAAATGATATAAAACTATTTGAGAATTGCAAGAAAAACTATGATTATGATGATAACATAACGGCGTATTCAAAACATTTTAAACATGGCGTCGATTTTAACCACTGACGTCATCTATAGATGACGTCATTAGGCCTACAGGTGACGTCAAAGATTCTAACTCTGGTGCTAACTAGTCTTTAACCCAAGGCGATTGGGTCGGCCAGCGACCCAAAAGAGTGGGGACATGATATTTTTGGGTCAAAATGGCTGACCCAAAATTTCTGACCAGTAATTTGGTGACGTCAAAGATTCTAACTCTGGTGCTAACTAGTCTTTAACCCAAGGCGATTGGGTCGGCCAGCGACCCAAAAGAGTGGGGACATGATATTTTTGGGTCAAAATGGCTGACCCAAGATTTCTGACCAGTAATTTTTGGGTCGGATGTCCAAAAATTCTAATCACCTAGATTTTAACCCAAAGAGATTTGGTAGGGTAGCCACCAAAAGATGTGGCGACATGATAATTTTGGGTCGGATGCCATTTGACCCAATGTTAGCGGGTCAAAATGGTTGACCTAAAATTTCTGACTAGTATATTTTGGGTCGGATGCCTTTGACCCAATATTATTTGGTCGGTCCGACCCAAAAATTCTAACAGTGTATCAAAACATCCATTGAGGACAGCATACAAAATGAACATGTACATAAACATATTGCAATATGACAAATAATATATATATTTACAAACAAGACAAATGATAATTTAATTTAATCTAGGTTACACATTTACTAACCGGACAAACAGTATTATAATAGTCTTAGAATACACATTTACCTCACACTGGTCTGATAATGACACAACATTCAACACAAGTATGATGAATGGGTATATATAAATATTTTAAATACCTAAATAACAGAAAGACTTAGTATTGGTGTTGACATGGGAATATGATCTAGAAATGCTAGAAGCATTACATGAATGAGTAATAAAACATGGAATGAAATATATTAAATGGAAGTCTAGATAATGATTTTGATACAAAAAGGTAGTGATACATGTTGCTCAACACAAATTATGTTCTTAGGT